CAAATCATTAGTTTCGCTACACAGAATTTTATTGATGATTGGATGTTCACATTATATTCTTCTACAGGTATATGAAATAATGAGTATGCTGTACGTTCTCCTTCATATAACTGAGCTGCTAGAGCAGTGGTTCCACAGGGCAAAACAATCTTACTTTCAGCTCTAATAGCATGGCAGATAGCATTAATTAAAAATGTTTTATCTTGCTTTGCTTTTCTATCTAGAAATTTTGGGAAATTTGTTGTTGGTGTAGGTCAATTTTCTGGTTTAAAGAGGACATATGCAATAATTTCCTGATAAAAAGCCTTTGTTCAGAGGTCATTTTTGAACAAAGTACTTCAGTAAGTTTTATAGTAGTAAGAGCTGTTAGAAAAACGTTGAAGTTCTAATGCTATTTCTTGTGTTAGTATTTGTGGTTCTGGTAGTCTGAAATCTCGTATATGTCGTCTGTATTCCGTAATCATATAAGCAATTTTTTGTAGTGTGATATTGTTAGTTAGGCAATTATTATGGGGAAATTGTTCTTGTATGTCTGTGGAAAATTTATTATTAAATCTTTGCCATATATCATACACAGGGTTACTATAGAATTAATTGTATAAATAGAAAACACAGTTTTGCTGGAGTATAGAAGTTTTCTATTGCTTCTTTCATAGCAAATATACCTTCATTATCTACAGTAAATAAGCCCATTTCACAGGCAGTTTCTTGATATGTACGATATGTAATTCCATTGATGGTTCTAAGGCCTTCCCATGTTCAAAATGAACGATACATTAGAATGCATCTCAAATAGAAGAGTTTACTAGCTTCAGATGATATCAACACTATTCGGGTAATTTTGTCTGTGGTGCGCTTTCTTACAATTTTTCTTGGTATTTGAGGTTGTTCTTGTTTCAGAAAATCTCTGTCCTTGAATTCTTCTTGTTTAAAGGGGTACAATATAAATTGTTCATAATATTCTGTATATTTAAGGTTATTGAAAAGTGAATCAAGTGGGCGAAGAAGATAATGGGTCAGAAGTGATGTGGTGGATGATATATTTTGTAAGCATGAATATTGTGAAATATTTGCTTCAGGAAAATGTAGGAGAAGTGTTTGTACAGGTAGATTTGTTGTTGTTGTTCTATATCTAAATATTCTCTAGGCTACTTCAGGTGCCAATAAGTATCTTCCTTCAATATAATCTTTAAATTCATTAATTGGTTGTTGATTTAAGTTTGTTTCTGTTTTATTCATATTATTTATAGTATATCTGACATGATCAGAACCTTTGAAGAGGTATTTATATAAATATATAAATAAATAAACAGTCAATGCAATTTCAAAATTTATGTGACAATTTAATTTCAAAATGAGCATCAGATTATATGGTACAACCCATTTATCTTCATTTGTTCTGCATTTATATTGTACGTATCCTTTTTCATCAATGTATGTGTTTGTATTAATGGATTTTGGGTATTTATATATACAGGCTCTATTGCGAAGGCATCTTGATGAATGATTTTGTTTATGAAGCATAAATTTTTTGATTAACTCTCTCAGTTGTATGTTTTCACGAGATAATTCTGCAAATATTATCTTGTCAATTTGGTCAACCGGAAGTTTAGGGTTAACACTCATAACAATATGAGCATAGGGAGTCCTCGTTTTTAAAATTTGATCACATCTATTATATAGGCGATTTTCTCAAAATATTTACATAGTAAATCTTTTAGTTTCCCAAAACGTGAGTGGAACGTACAAACAATTATCGTTGATAATTCTGTTATGTTTTGTCCAGACCGGAGTTGTAATTTTATTTCTTCCCAATTCAGATTAGTAGTTATAGTTATAAAGAAGCTCGGTTTTTCTCTGCAGCGCGCTAGAGCAAGTGCATTTGCAACATAAACAGAATACCATTTTTTTGAGCCTAAAAATGAAGCAGAAAGCCGCAGATCACTTTCATCTTGGTTATCTTTATTTTCGAAGTCTTTTTTGACATTAGGTTGTCTTTGTTGGTTTCTTTCTTTATTAAGACGCTTTTTTTCGTTTAAAATATAATTTAGGCATTCTTCTTCAACACGCGAATACATATCTACTAAATATTCGGAAGTTAATCTTCCTAATATCAGGAATTTTTCTTCACGCAACAAACGGGAGCGATACTAATCAATTTGTGAAAATTCATAATA